CAGACAGACAGACAGACAGACAGACAGACAGACAGACAGACAGACAGTGAGCCAGACAGACAGACAGACAGACAGGCTGGATGTCATGAGATTTGCTGATTCATGTCGAAAGAGACGAGGCAGCAAGGGACGAACTGAGCGTCTGACAGAGACGCACTCAACAGACAGAGAGGAAATATAATAATAACACAAGATGACAATTTAAACAGGAAGAATGCTGCTGCCTCTCAAGATGGAGTGTAAAACAAGCCTTCGCTGGGATTGGCTGAACCAAACCCCAACCATGGCCCATAAAGTTGCCGTACGCCATTAATTTCAGTGAGAAACTGTGTGAGACGTCTTGACTTCCTGTCACAAACGAACCCCCCTCATTCACTTTGTGGGAAGTTCCGTCTTGTTTGAAATCTCCACTCTGTAAAAACCCAGCATCAGATTTCCCTTAGAAAACCTCCCGAGCCTCCCTTCCCTCCAGCGGGCTCAGCAGTAGGGCCTGGGCCTCCAGCAGCATGGGACCAGCGAAGCTCTGCTCCTGGCCAGAGGAGGAGCACTGCTGCCGGGTTCTGAGTTCTCCTCGTCCCATCGGAGCTTCAGAATTCAGCTCGAAGGCAGCAGTGAAGACGGATCTAGGTCGGTCCATGGTGGGCTGGTTGCTGCCGAAGGCCCCGCTGGAGTCTAAGCTGAAGGACTTTTTGGTGAACCTGCGTGATTTCTGACGCAGGTTCTGACGGAATCTGACCCGGTGGCATCAATGACAAGTATTAAGAAAACCTATAAAGAAATAGCCAATCTTCTCTCTGATGGTCTCGTTTGCTCAAGTATGTCATATGGATGTATATGTATTTAATCAAGGCTGTTTCTGAGCCAGTGAAAGTTCCTCACTGTACCTTTAAGTGTTACTTATTTAACTTCTATACTTTCATTTACTTCATTTCAATGAAGTGACAGCATAAAGTATTTTAGACATGACATGACAAAATATGTAAATTGAGAATGGGCATATGACAATAAGATGTCTTATAGTAAGATAAATAGAAAATACAATACAAAGAAACATGTAATTTTAATTAAACGCAGACTGACTCTTAACTCCTGACAAACTGATATGATCATTAGGTGTCTTTAATTGCTTTTATTGTTTGTATATTGTGCAGTTTAGCACATTGTTATCCTTAACATAATTGTAATATTCAAATATGTAAATGTGCCCTTTGATCTTCAGTCTGAGGATGTTGTGTAATCTGCTGTTGCTTTTTGATTTGTAGTCCTTTCATGACATTAACGAGTGATCAGATGAGAGAGATTTCAGGGAGAGGACACTGATTGATCTGCTGATCACTGACAGATCTTCCCTCAGAAGTCAGACTGAGCTAACATCCCATCACACCCACATAACCAGAGGAGTGAATCAGACTGAATACAAGATCATTAATGCATTTCATTTTGAACTAGTATTCTTCTAACTTTAGACATGTCTGTGTTTTAAATCTGTCATGTATCCTTTATTATAGCTAGTTGACATTTAAATGATACAACTGGTTGGATGTACCTAATGGAAACAGTCAGGCCTGTGAGTTCTCATTTTCAAACTGTAAATAAACTGTTACATATTAAAAGTGTTAAAATGACAGTACATGAGAAGGTATTTTTGTTTTGTTTCTTTACACCATGAAATAATTCAGATCATCCTGAACTCAAACATAATGACAGCAGACTAATGAGAGAGAATGCAAGAAATAAAAAGTGGAAATGAAAGAGAAAACATCGATCAAATCCAAGTGTAATCTCTAGACAGATTCTATATTCATATAAATTACAACAGGTTCTGAATTCTCATGTAATCTGTGGGCCACGGAACTAGATTTTGGTAGAGGAAGCGTTGTGGTTCTGTTTGTAGTGCGAGTAGTATTGATCAATCGCAATAGTGCAGTCTGTGGTTGAATGCAGATAAACAGCAAAACTGTTGAAGTTTTGGCCCAGATATCCAGAGGCTGCACCAGAGCCCCAAAAATAGTCCCTTATGAACCATCCTGACCCCTTAGGTCGTCTGGGACCGGTCTACTTTCTGTTCTCAGAGTCAGAACTAAACATGGAGAAGCAGCGTTCAGTTGTTCTGCTCCACATATCTGGAACAAAGTCCCAGAAAGCTGCAGGTCTGCTGAGACCGTCAGCTCCTTTACATCAAGATTGAAGACTTTTCTGTTTGATGCTGCCTTTAATTGAACCAGATTCAATTAATATATTAATCAATTTCTGCATTTCTGCATTTAACTACTGTATTTTATTTCTTACACTGCTTTTATGACTGTTTTTAATGTTTCAATGAATGTTCTTAATTAAAAACAATTAAATCTCTTTTTCTTTTGCCTTATGTTTTGATGCTTTTAATGGTTTTATGTGAAGCACTTCGAATTACCTTGTTGTTGAAATGTGCTATACAAATAAACTTGCCTTAAAACTTTTTTTCTTCACTGTAATTACACACTCTTCAACCATTCAATATCAGTTGCTCATTCTAATAACTGACCTTTAGTGCACATGTAAATAAATAATCACTTGCATACAACATTGAGACAATGTGTGCCAGTGCTGTAAATATATATTCACATTTACATTTCAAAGCTGCTTTCATTCATTGTTGGTCGGTTCCGGTGGAAACGAGCGTTCCTTTAAAGTCCAGGGGTACATAAATGAACTAGTGTCAGTTCATGAATCATTGGTGTGAACATTTAGAGAGGTTACTAACTTCCCCAAACAAAAGACACAAAGAGGAGGGAGGAGGGACTCAGCAGGGATTAAATGAGAGAAGTTGATCTGCAGCACAATAAATATTTAAAAGCAATAGAGAATGTATGTTCTGATATTAGGCCCAGAGTGAATGTTTCTAACATTTGTAAAAGAAAGTTTCCATTTACACTCAATATGTTTTATTCTACATTATATTAAAACATCCTAAAACAAGTGAACTGAGGAAAACAATAACATCAGCTATATTCAGCAATCCGTTTCAACTGATCAGAACATTTCATTGTTTCCCCTTTTTTGAAACAGCTTTTAAATCCCATCACAAAATACAATATGTATGAAATATGTGCAATATTATGTTTATGATTGTAATCATAATTATTATTATTCAGTGGGTTTTATTTTCCATCTCGTCATGGTGTACTCTATGTACTCTATTCCATCTTATTTTCATATCTTTATTTTTACCTTATTTTATCAAGTGTGCTTAATTTTCCAACTTATTAATTATGGCATTCTATCCTTATTGTAAAGCACTTTGTGCTGCATTTCATGTGTAAAATGTGCTTTACAAATAAAATGTGTCATTGTTTTTTTTCAGAGTTGATTATTAAAAACAACAAACAGACCAACATATTTAAAATCTGCAACGAAAATAATAAAACATTTTTACACCGTGAAACAAAATAAAAGTATTTTCAATAAACACCACACGTGCACTTCGTTAGCGGTGTGTGAACCTCTGATCATGAAATCTGCAGGAAGTTGTTTGAAGTCAAGTGCAAGTTAACAGCTGATTTGATGATTAATCGAACAAAACAACTGACTCCACTTTAAATAAACAGTTTCCATCGTCAGTCCCATCATCATCATCCTTCAGTTCAAAGGATCAACGGATTCAAGACGTCTTTTCATGTCTGACTGAACTTCAGCCATCAAACAGTCTGATTCGAGCATCGCATTAACATGTTAAAGAGCCGTCCGGTGTGTGATGGACTCTGTTTCTGTTTAAAACTGCACACCGGAGCCCTCTCAGAGCTCAGAGGTCACAGCAGCAGCTTTCTGGAAACGTGACATCATGGACAGAAGCAGAGCGTCGGACTTCAGCATCGAGCGCATCCTTTCCCCGCAGCTCGGACACAAGCCGCCGGTGATGGAGTTCTCACCGGACGGATATCTCCAGGGGGTCCCTGCTGAGTTCCGTCTGAACTCCGGGAACCTCAGGCCTCCTGCGCCGCTCCCTGTCCCGGTGCCAGGCTGTCTGCAGTACCGAGGGATGAGCTTCGGTGAGGCGTTTTACCCGTATGGAGCCGGTTTCCATCACACAGACTTCTCCAGCATTTATCCAAACCCCGGAGTTTACGTGCACTTCAGCAGCCAGGACTCTGCAGGTATCTCCACATGAAACTAAACTTGAAATGTTTGCTGACCAACACTTTTACTTCAATTTAGATTTCTTTTTTAAATTTTCAAAATAAGTTTTAGTTCACACTTTTTGATCACTTGACTTAAATGTGTCTTCTCTTTACCAGATGCTCAGCAGTTGGCAGGTGGTTGCCATCGGGTTGGGATGTCCGCGCAGTCGCCGCCGCGTCAGATTGCCCGGATGAGGACGGTGTTCACCGACAGCCAGACCAAGCGGCTCGAGTCGCTGTTCGAGGTCACCGACTACCCGACGACGGAGGCGCGCGCTGAGGTGGCGAGGAGCTCCGGGCTGAGCGAGGAGACCGTCAGGGTGAGTCCGACGTGATGATCCATTGTGGGAGAAAAAACTATCCAGGTTGCGTAAAATGTTTCCCGGTTGCATTTTACGCACTAATTCACCAAGAAGTTTTTTACTATTATGCGTCATATTAAGTCTGCCTCTCTTTGTGTTTCCAGGTGTGGTTTAAGAACTGCAGAGCCAGGAGGAAGCGTCAGCGCAGCGGGTCAAAGGTCAAATCCCCCTCCCCTGCCCGAAGCGCTGGAGCAGAGAAGAACTTCTTCGCCTCGTTCCTCTGAACCCGACAGACCGTCCACCTGCGGCTCAGAGTGCTGATAGGGGCACTCCAGCAGGGTGGATGCTCGCTGTCGCTTTAAGACAAAACATCTGATAATTAAACTCTGGACTGATTACGGAGGGTTGTTTGGTCTAAACTGTTGTTTAATCTTGGGGTGCGTTCGTAGATAGTCACAGAGCTCTGGCACAAACTGGACCGTTCGTAAGATCGGAGCGCTGTTGTTTGGTTATTCAGAGCACCATAATCCATATAAATAGAACGCTTTCGGGCTTTTTGCGCTCTCATTTTGGTGTAGAGCGTCAGATTGGATTTATAAACGCACCATAGTGACTTTTCTATTTTTAAATTATTTTGTATTTTTATGTAAATTATTAAAATGACCATGTTACCATTACCTTGTTTCATTGAAAAATAAATGCTGTTGAAATGAATTCAGTCTTATGTTGTTGTTTGAGCTGAATAGATCAAGATCAGTTATAATATATATTGGGACTTTATTGTTGTAATATTACAACTTTTTTCTTTACTGTAATTGCACACATTTCAACCATCCAATATCAGTTGTTCATTATAATGACTGACCTTTAGTGCATGTAAATAAATAATCACTTGCATACAACATGGACTATAAAACAATGTGTGCCTATCCTGTAAATAGGCATATTTACCATATCATGACATTCAAAATGTAAGGCAATATCTAGTCTCATATCACAATATAGATATTGATCAATAAATCTCACATCAGTAATAATAATCTAATTATTAATTAATATACCACTGACAACAAAAAAAGGTCTTTTAGCCAGCAGACCGCTGTTTGTGCCCCGTGTGAAACGAGAAGTCACTTCCATAGTTAACTTAACCCAAACACGATTATTTCCTCAACGTAACTAGTTGTGTTGCCCAAACCTAACTAAGTATTTCACGATATTTTCCTTAACCTATAACTAAGTAGTGTTGCTGCTTATATAACTAAGTTGTTACCTGTGAAGTCGGAAGTATATTTTAAAAAGACTGAAACTGCTGGATTGATACGAACCGTTGCATGAGATGTCAGCTGCTTATACTGGAGTACATTCTGTTATTGCTATTGTTTCTCATGGATCTAAATACTTCCTCCAGCACTGCTGGCAACATGTGAGATATATGACATTTAGTCTTTCCATAGTGTATTAAATGATCTACTGATGCAATATTAGAAGAACAACACATTCTAAAACATATGTCATATCTATGTTATGCATGCGTTGCAGTATCATTTTCTGTCCAGCTCAAAAATGTGGATACTTTCCACTCACTTTTTGGTGAGGTTCATCTGGTTCTTTTTCAGTTGAATCAATGTGCAGATTCATTTGTAATCAGTTGAACTTTTCATCCAACACGCTTAACAACTTAATTTGCCTCACCATTGTTTCTAAAACAGATGCTTGAGCACGCGAGCAAACACACAAACGCATGTTTATTATCTGGTCCGGTTCCATCCATAATAGTAATATTTTAATGTCACTAATGCAAACAACATTTCCTGGGGGGGGGGGGGCATAGATGAGTTCACAAAATATAAATCAATATTAATGATGCCATTGACCATGGTTTTCACACTCTATCAATATGTTCAGATACGAATTATAAATTATAAAGGTTCTTTAAGGGCCAAGACCATTATGGTTTATTTTGTATATAAATTATATTTGTAAGCTTTCCAATTTGCAGATGATACACCATCATTTCCCTGTGTTTAGAATTTGTCTCTGTATGTAATAAGCTGAGTGAGAAGTGTCACCAGGCGTGTCATGGCTGACTTCTGTTGGATGCCTTAGTGCGTCGGGCCCTTGGAAGAGAGCGTGTCTTTAGACAGCTTCCTGATACTGGCCGAGGCAGACGGAGGGTTCGTCATATGCATTTTCACATGCAGGTAAATGCAAGTCACTGTCAGGGGGAACGGCCTCCGTTGTAATGTCCGACAGTGCGACATCACCTATGGCCCGTATTCTTTAAGCCATTTTCATATCGAACCATTTCGTCTTTATTCCAGTGACAGTACCACCCTCAGCTGACACAGCATCAACAGCTCTCCTTATTTTCCTTCATTACGTGGCTTTAGCAGGTCGCTCAATTCCACTGAACTAACTTAAGTATAGATTTTCCTATAAGGACTAAAGCCTCCAAAATCTGCCCTGTTCATGAATGAAAACTTCCGGACACGTGGGGCAGGATGTGTAACATTATATAGAATAACTAGGACGTTATGCTAATTTACAATTGAACGCATGCTCATTTACGTTTCCAGAAAACATTGAGTTTATATGAGAGTATCACGTTATAAATGCACAGCAAACTTATTAGACATTGATTTGTGTCTGATATACATTTTTTGGGAAGTGATAATAATAAGTTATGCTAGGAATCACATATGAATTGTGTCAAAGGAAAACATTTTAGTATAGTAGTATACTTATATTAAATGAAGGATAGTGCTTTAGATCAGGCATCATTATACCTGACTGTTTGTATTATTACAGAATTGAACAAAAACTAAATGTATGTGTTTTCTGTGAGTAAAAGCAATGGACAGGAGAGGTAGAAAAACAACATCAAATTCTTTATTATATTTATAGAGTCATCACATTAGAAGCATTTCCATGCTGCGGAGAATAAGATACATATATTGAAAAACCCCAACGAGAAAATACTGAGAGAGAGAGAGAAAGGGAGAGGGAGAGATAGAGGGAGAGAGAGGGAGAGAGAGAGAGAGCATGCAGTGAGTATCTGTTAGGATGAAGACGGCCAACGCTCATTCTTCTGTTTCCCGTTTAATGTCAGTTAGCCTCACTCACTTTTAAAACAGGAGTTACTAACATACGGACTGTAACCGAGCACAACGTAACACATACACACTAAAAAACAAGAACAGAAAGTACACTTAGTGAAGTTATCAAAATATAGGCTATATACTGTATATTCTTAAGAAGTTAAAACAACCGGTGCAATAATAAAAAGCAGAGTCCTTTAAATGGAGCAAATCTATAGGACAGCATATTAGGGCCAGCGTCAGTGCAACATGAATAGTTACAGAGCGGGGTACTTTTAAGGTCAACACTGTAAATACTTTATTTGTAATCATCTTTAAGCTGGAACAGTAAAACTGTTTGACTTTGTCACAAATGTCCTCAACTGAAATGTATCATTGTCAGGATTTTTTCCAGCAACCCAGAAATCAAAGAATAAAGACATTTCCTCACAATTGAATTGTATTTTCTTTGATAAGGGTCACTGGTAACATGTTTTATACTTCTGGTGAATCTTATCAAATTAATATTATTTACATATGTGTACTTTGTACCCATTAACACCTTATTTTGAAAAACGGACGTAGTTTGAGTACATTCACCATGTGGGTGCACTACAATTTTAGAGTCAGCTGATGCGATGCAAGGTTGTGATAAGGTTATTCAACCTTGCAACCTTGACAACAAAAACCCCACAATATTTCCGAGTATATTTTTCGTAAAATTGTAACTTGAATTTCAAAGAATTTAGTAAATTCACCCCCCCCCTCCGAAATGATTATCGTTTTACTTACAATGGCCCGGATACACGGTCGAAGAAATCAAATAAATAATAGGTAATGAGGAAAGCTTGAGTAACATTGTGTCGGTCTTGAAATGATTATCCAGAGACTCACTAGTGACACTTAGTGGCCAAACCAGAGAAAGCTCCACAATTACACAGTCTTCACTGGGACATATTGACTGCACTGTACGGTTACTGTACAAAGACAAACCTCTCCATCACCGAGCTCCACTGACGTCTATGCTCACCTGGGAGGAGAGAGTCAGCACATTGCGACTTTGTGGAGCTTTAGCGTCGAACCGCGTGCTGCAGCAGCGCATTTGTAGCCAAACACTTTTTGTGTGGAAAAGAGATATAAACTACAACATGGGGATTTACTTTAGTTCATCCGGCTCTTTTGTTCAGGATTGAGTGGCATGGCAGGGGAAAGCAGCCAACAGCAGACATGTAGGAGGTAAAGCTGTGAGTCATTGGCATATCATGTGTATGTGATATCAAGATTATCATGTTTTCAAGAAATTGTCTTGTGGAACATTAAGGACGGTTCCAATAACCAATTGATGCTGGAGCATTTTTTTTTAAGTGTCCTAAAGCAGAGTTTATATCTGACTTCAGTGAGATAGATGTGAAACATCTTTTGGTTTGATATCAGTTGACATTAAGTTAATTTAATGATTCCAATAAAACTATAAAACATTTCTAAAAAAGTCCAAGCTAACTGAAAGCAAAATCGGTGTTTCAGGACACATTGTAGTTTCACAACTCCATTTTTTTCAAAGAAATGTGGGAACCCTGAATGTGCTGACTATGCCCTTTCCATTTCCTTTCTTTGCCTTTAGTGCTCTGCACCTTACCAAGTTGATAAAAGCAGCTGAACTGCAGACTGTCGGGCCAACTAACACCCTGACATAAGCGCTGACAGGGCAGGAGTCTGTGTTCAAAATGCTCAGCTGATCAGTGCTCTGTTCACCGATCAGGACGACAATTAACAACCGGTAAACCCCTTTGGGATTGATTAGAAAACATCTTTACAGGAAAGCAAATGTTTCGGTTGAAATCAATAAATCATAAAACCCCAAATTCTGAAAAAGAAGTGTCTCGTGAGCATGCTCAGCGCTCTGTGAGGGTGTTGACAGAGTGTAAGGAGACATCAACACAAGACACATTTCCACACAGAGATATACACTGTTTACATATTGCTGTTTTCAGTAATCCACACTTCAAGAGAGATTTTAACATTAAGCGTGTTTTGTCTTTTCGCAGATGCCCACATTCACAAGAAGAAGCAAAGTCTTATTTGAATGGAGAAAGAGGGATGAGAGAGGTTGGGGAGAAAAGCATAGACGAGAACTTCTACAAATATCATGGCCTCTCTGGACACCTTATCCAGGGTCTAAATAAGATGGAGGAGATACACGTTGGACGAGGGGACACACAGCTGTACAGCTGACCAAACTGATTACATGTTGTTTTCAAGCTGACATTCAAATTAAGCTTATTTTCAGACGCAGCCATGACGGCAACAACACAAAAAAACATCAATATCACATGTAGCAGGGCAGAAAACTGTTTTTTGATTTTGAAGTTGCATCAAAGAAAGTAATGGTTTTGGGTCTGTTAGCACTTTTGGTTAACGACAGAGAATGATTGCGGCTCTTGACAGTAATTCCATAATAAACTGTATTTTAACTCCAACGAGATGGCAATACACTGATTCATAATGACAGCTGTTCACGGCGTTGAGTCACTATAATGTCTGACTACGGTACTTCATCTATTAACGACTACATTAACGGAATCTTTTTTCTTTTTCTAGGTGATGAAGCAAAAAGTCAAATCCAGCTATTTGTTCAGATTTGTTGTGAAGAACACATCGACTCTAATTTGCTGTGATGAAATGTTGGCATCAACTACAGAGCAGGAAATATTTCATAGAGACCAAGAACCACGAATATACTATGCCTGTCGCATACATTAGAAAGATAAGAAAATATGACTGTAACACTATGATAAAATACAAAAAAAGTAAGTAGTTGAATAACCCTGTTTTCAGTTCGACATCTGAGATTAAAGCATGCAGGTGACAACACACACAGTCTAGACTTTCTAGGTTTCTCGGGTTACTTTCTTTGTCTCAGGTGAGTTAAACAGCAGCCAGATCTAGATCCAACATACCAACAACCTGATACCTGAAGCATTTTGTACGCTTCGAGCTCTGCAGAACCAAATTTCACACACTGTTTCTTGAAATTCTCAAGTGACACAAGTGTGAGATGCAGTTCCAAGCGTTACAGGTATTAAGAAGATGAATGCTTCCAGTGGCTCTCTAAGTGGTTCTCAAGTCTCAGAATAATGTGCAATCACGGGATTCGTTTGGCAAACGTCATTGTTGTTACTGTACAACCACGGGTCAAACATTAGCATTATTCCTAATTTGAAGCTACAGCTGGTGCCAACCACCAATTTTGGTTGAGACCCAAATCGAGCAGTAGCAAAAGCAAAACATGCAGCGGCACACACTGATGCCATGTGGTTTTTGTTGGCTCAAATAAAGACATAACTTGGACAAAGCTGGGACAATGTGATGAGAACGGCTAAATGATGGGATGTGTAAAGAGAATATTTGAGGGCGATTGCTTTAGCTCAGTTTCATGAAAGGAATGCGGGACGTTTTGATCAGATACAAGGCACTATAGATGTTGCTATAGAACGGCTAAATCAGAGGGATTCGGGCTGAGGGTAAGAGAGAAGAGGGACAGGGTGTCACTACGAGATGTCTGACTGACAGTGAACGTCTGAAGAGACCGAGAGAGAGAGAGGAAAGCCAAAAGGAAAAGATGAAGATAGAGAAAAGTGGAGAGATGGGTCAGGTGGAGAAGCAGAAGAAGGAGGGCATGGTTAGGACTGCATCTCAGCACGCAGCATCCACGGAAACCAACAGCAGAACAGCAACCTGGTGGACAAGAGAAGAGGAGGGAGATTTAAGTCTACTGTACATGGTAAGATATAGCGCTTTATTAAGATTCCTCACTTTAGTAAAAGTAGTAATACTGCTATATAAAAATACTCCTTTACAAGTAAATGTCCTGCATTGAAAATGTCAGTAAAAGTAAGTAAAAGTCTTTAAATATCAAAGGCAGAAAATGTCCCGTGTGAGTGTTGTACTGCATACTGATGCAACAATGTGTAAACAGCACTTTAATGTTGAGGTGGAGCTCATTGTAAATACTTTATTTCAATCTGTAAAGTAACTTTAGCTGACAAATAATACATAAAGGAGAAGTAAAAGTGCAATATTTCCCTCTGAGATGTAGTGGAAGTGGTATTAAATCTACTTCAGTTTTGTATTTAAGTAAAGTACCTGAGTAAATGTACTTAGTTATATCCCACCACTGCCAACTCTGTAATCATACAACCATCTGGAGCTGTTCAAGTTGTTGACATGTGAACATTTCAATATTTTGGGATATTTTAAGGCAGAAGGTGAGAATAGGAGGTGAACAGGTTTATTATGAGTAGTGGGAGAGCTGGTGTCTCTGTGTTCTCACCTGGATATGGAGTTCTCAGACGTCAGGTCTTTAGGAGAACGCATCGTGTTGAAGTTACGCTTCGGCTGTGACACTGAAGGACACAAAGAAAGAACAAGCAAGAGTCTGTTAGTGATATCAATACAAAGAGGACATCTCCTTTAATGGTTTATTTAAGGGTTAATAGAAAGGTCACTGAGCTGTAACCACCATCACAACACAAACACAACCCAGTGATGCTATCTCCAGCTCTATGAAGGTATGCCTCTGGTCCCTGAAAGGAAATGATGTATTATTGTTCACTGTTTCATTGTCCCTACAATACAGGGTTGACTGTGATATTTAGTTGTAGACCCCTCCACGCTACACAAATAATGTATGAAAAGACATATTCAAATATGTTAATTTGAATTGGAATATAAATAAAAATGAAATAGAAGACACTTTATAAAAGCAGCACTGAAGAAAGAAAACACAAGAAAAACAGAATTATACACATTTAGTCTCATTTGGGGTTTTATTTTGGCAGTTTTGACCATCATTCTGATCAGGAATGAAATTATCAAATTTTCTAGTTCATTGCAGAGAAGGAAAAATGAGTAGACACAGTTTAACAGCCATGACACAAGTATCTAAAACAAGTCCAACAAAGGAACGACCACATTTGCATGTAGTTAAGGTCGTGATTATGCAAATTCAGATGTGGCGAATGGTCAGTCAGCTGTGTCCATCATGATCTCCTGCTTTTCTCCAGACATTTTACTGTCAGTCAGTGTGATGCAACAGAACAATGAAAGGTACTTACTGGTGACTTGGTGGACTTTCTTCACCATGGAGTTGTCATTCTGGGAGCCTTCTTTAGGACCTCCGATTCTGATATGACAATGATGAAAACAGCCAGGCGTTTAGAGACTTGAAGATACTGTCAGAGTGAATTTCTCATGAGAAGAAAATGTAACTAAACCAAATGTTTCCAGGTTTATAAGGGATTCTTTCACAGCATCAGACCTCCACAGGTTTGAACGTCCTGCAGTATTTTGATTTGAATGCATCACCCTGCACTTCTAACATCCTCACACTATGCCCGTCATGCACCACAGCTGTATTAGTTATCTTGGTTTGAAAGAATATAATTAGCAAAACTAAAACATTCTTTTGTGGTGTCTTACCTCTGGACCCGGGAGGGTGGAGCAAACACTCCATATTTGGGCAGGCAGCTGAAGTAGCGGACTCCAAACACTGAGCCGTCATGTTTTCCTGTGGCCTGATCCAACTCGACGCCGAACCAGTACCCTGCAGGGACACAGAGAGCTCGGGTCACACCTGCTGGAATCATCACTGATGGATGAAAGCTGTCACTTTCACGATAAGTCCGCCAGAAGAAGTTATTCTTGGATTTTTCACCATTAGTGATGAAAAACAGGTTGTCCTGGTGGCTCTAATCGCAAGGACGGAAAATGAGCAGGGACAGTTTGATGAAGTTTGGTCTAATTTTCTGTTGTATATAAAGGGAAGGAACCTAACAGGAAGTAAGCACTCTTTGTTAATGGATATATGCTACCCCACGTGATGATCACTCTTTTTCGATTTTCACTGTGCTGTCAAGATTTATTTTGTTCTGTTTTCTTCCATTTGTTGTTTCATTGATCTATAGCCACTGTTTTTTGGGGGGCCCAATTTGTTCGTATGTATTAAATAAGTTAACAAAAAATGTCTGTGCGGTGGCCAGTTTTCCATGATTTTGCCATGATTTTTCTCCACAAAGACCGAGGACAAGAACAGGAACATGGAAACAGCTGACACAATACACAATGAACAAAGTGCCATATAATGGCATGTTATCATGTTTTATATTAGTTTCTATTGCAGCAGTGCAGCTTAGATCACACACACATACAGTTTGCATGTATTAGGCCGAAGGAAGTGTTTTAAAAGTAACTATTTACATTCAATCAGTAAGTAAAAACATAGGAACAGTAATAACAACACAAACAAAAAAGAGCCAAAGAGCTTCTGTAATCTCACCCAATTTGTTTGTCATTTTGCATATTTGTACATATTTGATTCAGATCATCCTCAGATGATTAGTAAAATATCTGGTTATGGCAGCAATAATGTCAAAAAGGTCAGCCCAGAAGACAGACCTGGGGCGAAGTCGGTCTTGCCGTAGAAGCGGACGATGCCGTGTTTCTGTCCGGCCACCAGAACCTGGTCTCCAACTTCCACGTTCATTCCTTCCGGATCCAGACTGGTTACTGACGACTTCTTCTTCTGGGCTGAGAACGCACGGCAGACAAACATACTGTATCACAGAGATGCACACCTTAAGTCAAGACACCGTGGATTAAATGTTGTATTCTAAAATGCTGAGTCTAGTTTGAGAAATTTTATATTTGACATTCACAAATATTCCACACACGGACAACATGAGAGCTACATTACCTTTCTCTCTAAGCTTCTCCTTCTTCTCTTTCTCCTTCTTGGTCCTCCGGGTGAGGCGAGAGGCCAGGTCCATACGGGGGGTTCTGGGGGTGGAGGTGACTGATGAAGGTGCCTGATCCACGGCTTTGGAAATCTTTGACACCGGGGCAAAAATGCCTGCAGGGCAGAAAAAGACAGACACAATGAAACCATCATCCAGCTGGGAGTCGTGAAGAAGGAAACGGAGCTGTCTTTGCAGGGGTTCAGTGACCATGGTAGCAGATGTTACCTAGTTTAGGAGGGCAGACGAAGTAGCGAACGCCGCCCACACTGCCATTGTTCTTCCCCTCCGGCTCGTCGAGCTCCACGCCAACCCACTGACCGCTGGCGAACTCTGTAGTGCCACAAAACCTCAGAGTGCCGGACTGAGAGAGACACACAGAGACGAAGATCTGAAGTTAGAGGTGAAAACTCTCACAGGCTGGAAACATGAGTGTAGAGATCCATCAGGTTAGGCTAGGTTGCATGGAGGCAGATAGTCTGAGTGTCTGCTGCTGTATTATATGAAAGGGAAAGGGAGGAGACGTGACATCATAGCTCCAGGTGGAGTGACACGTCACAGGGAGAGAGCATGTTGTCAGAGTGGTGCAGTGAGTTCAGTTAGTCTACATTTCCGGCCGGCGCCCAACCAACCTGTCTGAGGTTTGCAGGCGGGTTTTCATCTTTGCTCTGGTCTCTCTGGAGCTACACAGTGAGAACACACTGTTCAGAGCTCATACATCGTGAGGGTGTGAAGGACAAAAGGCAGCCATCACACAAAACAACCCCGGCTGTAATCTGTCCTGCAGGATTGCGTTCACTCGACGCAAAGCACCAGAAATGTCATCTTAAGTTTATATTTAACCATCTATTTAACTGACAGCAAGTGTTTTTAATTTGAAACGTACAGAATTAGCTCATGTTATAACTACCTTCAAATGCACAACCTAGTTTGATCCTAGTTTGATCCGAGCAAGTCCTGTTAACCTTGACTCAGCACTTATAGTTCCAATGTAATTTATTCCTTGAAGGTTGGTTTAAAGATAATCAGGCCCTAGTGGACGCATCTCAGTGTCTTGCTTACAGACATTTCTATCTGAAGGATGATCCCCCTGCTCACTTCACCTCCTGCCTGCCACCTTCTACAGTATATGTGTCACTTTCTATTTTCACAGGCAAATTTATACTTATAGAACCCATGGCTGTAAATATTTGGAAATGAAACAAGGGTGTAAAAAGCAAATGCATCAGCAACATGCTCCATGTGTTCATGTGAATATGGTGGAAAACTGAGGCTCAGGTTCAAGTTCAAGCCAACAGGACCTTCTGGTTCCTGTAGCTTTAGAGCTGTGAGTCCATTTGATATTATTATACAAACAACACTGTTGGTAATTAGTCATCCATCTTCCTGTCTGGCTGCGACCACGACATATGTGACTGAAGAATGGTGAATGGTAAATGGACTTGTACTTGTACGGCGCTTTTCTAGTCATCCGACCACTCAAAGCGTTTTAACCCTACATGTCATCATTTACATATTCACACACATTCATACACTGATTGCTGCCCATCAGGTCTATAACTAATCATTCATAGGGAGCAATTTGGGGTTAAGTTAAGTATCTTGTCCAAGGACACATCGACATGGACTAGCGGAGCCGGGGATCGAAACCGCAGATCCTCTGATTGAAGGCTACCCTGCTCTACCGCTGAGCCACAGTCGCCCCTAAGGAGCACCCAGTACAGCTCTCCAATCCAGGACCAGCAGTAAAACCTCCTGTGCAGTACTAATACACACTAAGACCACTGTGTCTCTTGTTTCTGTCAATCGTTACATTCAAATAGTAAACTGAGTCTGAAGCACTCGCTGATGGCTATCGTGGGACTGCCAGATTTAAAAGATTATCACAGACATGCTTTTTACATAACATGTAGGTAATCTTTTCTATTTTTCTTTTCGTAAAGTTAATCTGATCCCTAGATGAGGGGTCTTCAACATTTTTCAGGCCAAGGACCCCCAAACTGATAGAGAGATGGAGCAGGGACCCCCGACTATATATAGTGTATAAAATTGTGTTTCACATTAAACTGGGCCTAGTACAATATATAAACATACCTCTTTGTTGTGCATTCAATACTAAGCTATTCAAATAATACGCAGGTTCATATATTCATGTTTTTATTTTAAACATGTGCAAGGTACAGTGAGTAGGGTGGCTGTGCCACTGCCATTTATAAACATACCTTGTCAGCTGATACCAATGCCAATATCAACATTGTCTGTCAATTGCATGATAATCATGCATACAAGCTATTCAAACTGATGTTTTAAACATAAATGTGGAAACGAAAATGAGTGATGGCCTATTAGTGCCACTGCCATGCATAAACATACCTGTTATCTTTCATACAATACTGAACTATTAAAATAATGGACAGATTCATGTTTGGGGAAAAAAAAGAAAAAATTAAAGAAAAAAGAAATAAAATTGTCTAATCAACCAAAAATTTCGCGGACCCACTGCAGTACCTCCGCAGAGCCCCTACGGGTTGCGGACCCCTTGTTGAAGACCTCTGCCCTAGAGCCCTCGTAGTGGTGATTCCAACTGGTTTTATGTAGCTTTCCTCTCCTACAGAGGACCTGGGTTGCAATGAAGATGGGAGCTCAACGAGGACGTTTGAATTGATTCCCATATATTAAGGTATTCATTGTCATAGTTCTAATGGCAGCATTCATTGTTGAGCAGCTGGTGCTTATCCCTCGCTCATCCGAAATGAAGATTGATTATTATTACGTCTATTTAAATATAACTTTGTCAGAAGAATCGTAATTTCCAATTCCAATTGGTTATAGTGTATGTGATCAAACGATCAATGAATGTTTCACTTTTGATGTTGATATAATCTAATAACACATAGGAAAATATCCTTTTACCAATAAATCTAGTTTGGAGATCACCCTCCTAACAAACCAGCAGAGTTAACCAGCTGCTTTCAAATACCGGCAACACATTTTCCCATTCTCTGTTTAAGACATGTTGAGGACGGACTAACGTCCCTGATCCTCAGTGAGCCTCTGACCTTCATGTCGTCCAGCATCACGCGCTCCCCCAGCTTTAGCCCCAGCGAGGTCAGCATCAGGTTTCCTGGGATGTTGTCGTAGTTGGCCAGCGTGGCTCTGGGAAGGTTGCAGCTCAGAGGGACGGCGTCCAGCAGCAGCTGCATCAGCTCCTTGGCCGCCATTGCGGCCTCTGCCTTGTCCAGAGTCATGTCCATCGGGTCGGGAACCACCTCCCCTGGAACCTGGCCCTTATCGTTCTGCAGAGAGGGAGGGGAGAGGGGGTTGGAGTGTGCAAGGACAGAATCATGACCATGATATGATTATCCACAAGAGGAGTTACTGTATGTCTGGGGAAAAGAGTGTAAGGTATCCAGAGTATTTCAATTTGATCGGTCTGTTGGAAATCCAGCCGAACCAACAGAAGAACGTACTGAAAAATGATGATCATCAAGCTACAGCTTGACTCTCACCCTGCAAAAATAAAGTAAAGTGTTTTTACCCGGACAATGGGGTTGGCTCCGTGCTCTAGGAGACATTTGACTGCACCCAGACAGAGGTTGGAGGCAGCGATGTGGAGGGCTGTGCCATAGTGGAAATCACTGCAGGTGGAGTTCAACACTGCGGAGACAACAAAAGAAGAACAAGTCTACATTAACCACCACTCCTGAGCTTGAGCTGCGAACAATGTGTGTGTGTGTGTGTGTGTATGTGGATGTGTGTGTGTGTGCGTGTGTGTGTGTGTGTGTGTGTGTGTGTGTGTGTGTGTGTGTGTGTG